AAGAATACACAGAACTATCTAAAAAAATCTTCATGACCCAGATAATCATGATGGTGTGATCACTCACCTAGAAATAATATTACCCAAAAGAGGATGAAAAATACTGTATGATTCCACTTATATGTAGCTCAAAAACAGGCAAAACTAATCTCTCATGATAAGCGTCAGGATATGGACTACTTTTGGGGAAAGGTAAAGATGAGGAGTTTGTGATGGACAGGGAGGCCTGGCGTGCTGCGATTCATGGGGTCGCAAAGGGTTGGACACAACTGAGTGACGGAACTAACTAACTAACTGAAGATGAGAAGAGAATGAAGTCTGTTGTTAATCTGCATCTTGGTGGACACCGACATGTTCCATTGGTGAGAATTCATTCAACTGTGCACTTAAACTATTTTGCAGTTTTGTGTACGTATGTTTGACATGTTGTTAAACAAAGGGAGCTCAAACCATTGCCCTGTGTCAACCTAGAGGGGTGGGAGGTGGGAGGGAGGTTCAAGAGGGAGGGGACAGATGAATACCTATGGCTGACTCATGTTGATGTTTGGCAGAAACCAGCACAATATTGTAAAGCAATTATCCTCCAATTAAAAATAAATCAATTTTAAAAATAAAGAAAAAATTACTTAATAAAAGATCTTCCTTCTTCACCTATTACCCCAAAGTCCCTCCTGGTTTTCTTATATTTATTTATTCAGTTTTAATCATTTTTGGCTGTGTTGGATCTTCGTTTTTGCTCGCGAGCCTTCTCTAGTTGGGGTGGGGGCTACCCTCTAGTTGTCTGTCCCTCCAATAGTGGGGGCTACTCTCTAGTTGTGGTGCACAGGCCTCTTATTTCGGTAGCTTTTCCTGTCATAAAGCATGGGCTCTAGAGCACAGGCTCAGTAGTGGCGGCATACGGGCTTAGTGGCCCCTCGGTATGTGGGATCTTCCAGGACCAGGGATTGAACCCATGTCCCCTGCATTGGCAGGCAGATTCTTTACTAGTGGATCACCAGGGAAGTCCCTGTTTGTCTATCTTACATACAGTGGTGTGTACCTCTTAATCCCAAACTCCTAATTTATCCCTCCCCTCTTCTTCTTTGGGAACCACAAGTTTGTTTTTTGTGAGATGACCCTCATTCTTATCTTCCTCTTCCACATACAGTTCAATTGTCAATCCCAGGAAGACCTACCAGCTTCCACATCATGTTAAATAAGAAATAAAAATCAGGTTAAGAGGATTTTATTTAACATTTCCCTATTTGGGGACCTCAGGGTTGTTTCTAGCTGTTCACTGTGATAATGACAGTTCTACAGGTTTCCTCATGTACCTGGTTATTTCCTAAGTATAAAATCCTAGAAAACACAGAGTTGAGTCAAAGGGTTTACACTTTTAAAGACTTTTTTCACAGGTATTGCCACACTTCTCTTCAGAAATATTACACAAGGGCATGCCCAGCAGCTGTATGTTTATCAGAACTGGGGCCAAAGCTGGATGTTGTTCTTCTTTTCTACCTTTGCCAACTGATAGATGATAAATGGTCTCTCTCTGCTGTCTCAATTTGCATTTCTTCGAGGTTGATGGGTGTGGTAGGTTGATGATGGCTCACTCCCAAAGATATGTCTAGGTACTAATCTCTGTAACCTGTGAATGTGACCTTATAAGGAAATGGGGTCTTTGCAAGTATGATTAAGTTAAAGGTTTGTTGTTTTTTTATTCCATTTATTTTTATTAGTTGGAGGCTAATTACTTCACAACATTGCAGTGGGTTTTGTCATACATTGATATGAATCAGCCATGGAGTTACATGTATTCCCCATCCCGATCCCCCCTCCCACAAGTTAAGGGTTTTTTTTTAAGTTAAGGATCTTGATGGGGAGATTAATCAAGATGATCTGGGTGGGCCCTAAATGACATCACAGTGTCCTTTCTCATAAGAAGGAAGCAGAGAATGAGATTTGACAATGACAAATGAGAAGGCAACGTGACCAAAGAGGCAGAAACTAGAGTGATGAGATGGCAAGAGTGCCAGCAGCTACCAGAAGTTGGAAGAGGGAAGGAGTACCTTGTTCCTGGAAATTCAGAGGGAATGTGATCCTGCCAACACCATGATTTTGATTTAGTGCAACTCATTTTGGACTTCTGGCCTGGAGAACAGTGAGAAAATACATTTCTGGTGTTTTAAGCCACCAAGTTTGCAATGACTTGCTATAGCAACCATGAGAAACTGATGCAATGGATTTTTCACATATTTCTGGACCACATGAAAAACCTTCTGAATTTTAAAAGCTTGTAAAAATGAAATGTCATGCAGTAATATGAACCGCATAATTCTATTTCCATGAGAGTAAACATATACAGTATGTTTGTATATGTGTTTGCATGTGTACATAACTGCTTAAGAAACTATCTAGGAGAATATACACCAAACTAGTAACAATGATTAACTGCAGGGAGGTGTGGGAAGGAGGGAAAGAGTAATTTTAACTTAAAAAAATTTTTTTAATGTTATTTATTTAGTTTTGGCTGCGCTGGGCCTTCATTGCTGCTCACTCTTTTCTCTAGTTGCAGCGAACTCGGCCTACTCTTCATTGAGGTGCTTGGGCTTCTTATTTGAGTGGCTTCTCTTGTTTCAAAGCACAGGCTCTAGGTGGGTGAACTTCAGTGGTTGTGGCTCAAGGGTTTTCTCTAGTTGCAATGAGCAGAGGGTACTCTCTAGCTGAGGTGTGTGGGCTTCTCACTGTGGTGGTTTCTCTTGTTGCAGAGCACAGGCTCCAGGCCCACTGGCTTCAGCAGTTATGGCTCTTGGGTTCTAGAGCTCCAGCTCAGTAGTTGTGCGTGGCCCACCGGCTTCGTTGCTCCTCAGCATGTGAGATCTTCCCCAAACAGGGATCAAACCCATACCCCCTCATTAGCAGTGGGACTCTTAAATACTGGACCACCAGGGAAGTGGTAGTCTTACTTTTTAAATAAGTGAAGTCTTACTTTTTACTCAAGACACTGCTCATAGATGTAGCTCTATTGTTTGAAGAAGCTTTATCAGACTATATTTATGTATTAATTGTGTGAAAATATAGGTAAGTCATATCTGCTTGCTGTATATAATAAAATATGTAGAAAGCAGAAAACAAAACTGTCCCTCTCCTCTCACTTATCCCCTTTCCCAGAAATATTTATTGATAATAATAATTTGGTGTGCATCTTCTCACACTTTTTTCTATGAATAAACAAATGCCAGTATGCCATTTTTCAAGAACAAAAATGAAGAGTGGGTACCATACAAATTTTTACTTAAGGGTGTTTCTTCCAAATCATTCCTGCATCCTTCCCTGCTTCATTCTCCCCAGTGGGTTGTTCCACGGCCTTTCACTGTAATAAAGACCCAGAACTCTTTATAAACCTCCCTGAAGGTTTCAACTTCCCAGGTGGCACAGTGGTAAAGAATCCACCTGCTAACGCAGGAGATCCAGGAGAGGAGGGTTGGATCCCTCGGTCAGGAAGATCCCCTGGGGTAGGAAATGGCAACCCACTCCAGGATTCTTGTCTGGGAAATCCCACGGACAGAGGAACCTACTGTCCTTGGGGGTCGCAGAGTGGGACAAGATTGAGCGATTAAACACACACACACAAACACACACAGAGGCTGCTTGGAACTTTCTTGTGTCTGTGACTTTGACCATATGTGTACACATCACTGGAGAAAACGCCTCTCTCAGTCGTCTTTAAAATTGTTTTAAGTATTCCCATTCTGCCTTTTAAAAACAGATGCTCTCACCAATAGTTCCCTACTGCGGAAGACACAAGATTCACTTTTTCAAACTTTGCCGAACTGGGTGGAGAGACGATATTTGAATGTTATCACAGGAGGCATCTGGCATTTCTTAAAGCATGCGGCCGGCTGGGCATTTTTCACACGATCACTGGCTCCCAAGGCAGCCTCGTGGACGCTTCAGAGGTCACTGGGTCATTTTCCTTCACAATGAATCAAATCCGAATTCGTTCTGAACCCTGTACCGCGAGTTACTCGATTAAGCACCCGGTCTGGAACTATGGGGCGAAGGTGATTTAGGGGATTTCAGCCTGGGTGACTCTGGACACCTGAACAAAGTTGAAAACCTGAACTGGGGCGGGGGGAGCGTTGGAACCCCACAGGAAAGAGAGGAGCGGGAGGCCGCCGGGCATATTCCGGGTGCCGGACATTTCCCTAATCCTCTGCCCCAGGCAGGCAAGAGCGATCAAGCCGGGCGGGATCCAGCGCTTCGAGGACTCCAGGCAACGAAGGTCCGGGCAGGTCCGAAGCTTTCCCGCAGGGGGCAGTGCCGCCCGCTAGCGCGCGGATCCGGTGGGAGGGGGTGTGGAGCTGCTGCGGAGTTCTGGGGGTTCTCGGGAAGAAAGTTAGGGGATGCCTAGGGATGGGGGCGGGACCCGAGCGGTCGGCCCAGAGCCGGGCGGGGGACAGGCCCGCGGGGGTGCGGGATGGGGCTCGGGGAAGGGGTCCGGGTGAGTCTGGGGGCCAAGCCGTGCGCTCACTGCGGGGAGGCGCAGCCTGGGAAGGTGTGAGCGAGCGGCGTGCGAGTGTGAGGGCGAGTGTGTGCGCGCCGGGGCTCTCCGCGTTCCGCGAGGCGCGCGGGTGTCAGCTTGCAGCCGGGGCTCCTCCCTCCGGCCCCCCTGCCCCGCGCGCCGGTCCCTCCTTCCTTCCCCGCTCGCCCCTCCCCGGCGGGCCAGGCGCTGGGACGCCCCGGTGGAGCAGGCGGCGGCGGCAGCAGCGAGTTGGGGAGCCCCGGGCTCCGCGCTGCCCTAGGGGCCGGAGCCGAGCCGCCCCCGCCCCCGTCCGGTCGCGCCGGCCCCGCTTCCCTCCGGGCCACGCCCTGTCAAAACTTTGTTGCTGCAGCCGCCTGGGCGGCGAGCGGAGCAGGCCGGCGAACGGGAGGGAGGGAGGGAGGGGCGGGCGCCGGGCCGGGCCGGGCGCGGGCGGCGAGGGGCTCGGAGAGCGGCGGCCCCGGCCCGCGGCCCCACCATGCCCCAGCTCGGCGGCGGCGGCGGCGGCGGCTCGGGAGGCGGCGGCGGCGGCTCGGGCGCCGGGGCAGCCGGCGGAGGGGACGACCTCGGGGCCAACGACGAGCTGATCCCCTTCCAGGATGAGGGAGGCGAGGAGCAGGAGCCGAGCAGCGACAGCGCGTCGGCGCAGCGGGACCTGGACGAAGTCAAGTCGTCCCTGGTCAACGAGTCGGAGAACCAGAGCAGCAGCTCGGACTCGGAGGTGAGGAAGCCCCCGCGGCCGACTCCCGGGACCCCGGCCCGGCGCCCGCTCACCCGCCCTCGCCTTTGTGTCTCCTTCGCAGGCGGAGAGGCGCCCGCAGCCCGCCCGGGACGCTTTCCAGAAGCCACGGGACTATTTCGCCGAAGGTACGTGTGGGTCCGGGCTGTCCCCCGCTCCTGGCCCCGCTGCGCTTGGCGCCTCGGCTCGGGTCGCCCTCGGTCCCCCTCGCCCCGGTGGCCGTGCCCCTGCTCTTCGCCCCCGTCGGCCTCAGCCGTCCTGGGGCGCGCGTGGGGGGCGCTTGGATTCCCGGTCCCTGCCCCGGGACCCCTTACCGAGGCGCTGTCCCGAGGGCCCCGGCCTCACCCGCGCCTTGGTTTTACCGGCAGTGAGAAGGCCCCAGGACGGCGCGTTCTTTAAGGGGCCCCCCTACCCTGGCTACCCGTTCCTGATGATCCCGGACCTGAGCAGTCCGTACCTTCCCAACGGACCCCTGTCTCCCGGAGGAGTGCGCACGGTGAGTGCCCGTCCCGCCGCGCCCCGGCGCGCGGGCGGTCGGGGCCCGAGAGATGCGCCCCCGGGCTCGGCGACGGGGTGGGGGATGGGGCCGTCCCGGGAGGATCCCGGGCAGAACTTGCTTACGGAGATGAACCACTCCGGCAGTCGAGGATTAGGCTGCGCTGGGAGTGCCTGGAACATTCCCTTACATTCTCCCCTTTGGCTGGGGAGCCGCTTCGGGGTCCACTTCTGGCTTTCTCCTTGGTGTCCAGAATTCTTTGCTCGCGCTAAAGAAAAACTTGGATTTGTGCCGGTTGGGCGGGAGTGTGTGTTGAGCGGGGCGTGGAGGGGGGAGGTGGTCTTGCTTTCTTCCTGGATATCGGTCCGCTTTCCCTGGCAGTTGGGCAGTGGGGCCGGGGAGGTGGGTTGGCGACGCTGCCCCGCGACTCCAGCTTCGCTGGGCGGCTAAGAGTAGGTTCCTAAGAAACCCAGTATTCGTGGCGGGTTATTCACACACACACATACACACACCCCCTCCCCACCCCCATCCCTCGCGCTGGGGCCTCAACTTTTCTGTAGAGCTCGGGATTTTAAACTCGCCGAGATGATTTCGAGGGCGAATCGAGGCATTCTTCAAGTTGAGGAACTTGGCTTTTTCCCCCTTTGTTGCCGGCTTTTCTCATTTAAAGCGAGCGCTGCGACACTTTAAACCTGTTAATGGGCGCGCATTGTGTGCTGCGCGCTGGCATTTAGAGCGGTGATTAAGCAAATTGACCGGGCCCCAGACGACGTGCAAATGAGGGCGGATTCCTACGCCCCCTCCCAGGCTCTAACTCCCGCCCCCCGCGTCGCGAGGGCTGCAGCCCTTTGGGCTGGCCGGGTTTTGTGTGTGTGTGCCCTGAGCTGCCACCCCACCCGAGGGCCCCCAGCCCAGGTGCCAGGTCCGCTGGCAGATCTTGGGTGAACGCCTACCTACTACGTGCCAGGCTCTCGAGAGCTGCTTGGGCGCCTCGCACAGCACAGTGGTTCTCTTTGCTTCCTGCCCAGTTTCCCAGCGCCTGCCAGTTCGTGCTTGATTCGGGGTGGGAGGTGTTTGGCTCCTTAAGAGCTGGCCGGACAAACTCACTTTATGCTCAAGCTGCCCTTCAATGACGATCACAATTAAAGGGCTGCCTGGGAAACGCTGGTGCTGAATGGACCGTCCCTGCTGTCATGGTCCAGCGGTCCGTGGAGAGCGGAGACGTGTGCGGAGGTTCAGAGGGGTCGCTCGGCAGGCCCCTGGGGCGTGCAAGTGGAGGCTGAGGACTCTGACCAGCCGAGAGCGGAGTGGGGCCACACAGCTTCCCCTTTCAAGGAGGGAAGACCCTGCATCCTTGGCCCTGCCTTGGAGCATCCTGGGACCTCCCGAATATAAGTCCTGACTATGACCTGAAACGGGACATCTGGCTGTTGCTTTTTCTCATTCATATAAAAAGAAAGAAGGTGTCAGTAAAAGTTGAGCAAAACAAGCCTTTGTTTAGGTTTTCACAGATTCTCGTAGGTGTCCACAGATGTAATTCAGTTCCGAAGGTTTTAGTAGGGTTTCTGTAATTGTGTGTGAGGTCACACTACCACAGTCCCTTTTCTCCCTTTTACCTTTAAATGTCTGGGAAAAGGAGTTTGGCATTTCTGTGACTCAGCACCGATCCAGATCCATGTCCTGATGCAGATAAAGTCACCAGAAGTGTTCTAAATATCACCAGTTATTTGACTGGATCTGGCTCTTTCTTTCCCCTTTCTCACTGCATGCTAAGTAGCTTCATTCGTGTCTGACTCTTTGCCATGGACTGTAGCCTGACAGGCTCCTCTGTCCATGGGATTCTCCAGGCAAGAATACAGGAGTGGGTTTCTGGTGACAGAATGGTGACAGCTCCCTGTCTTCCTATGCTGTTCGTCCCCTCCCCCTCAAGAGCCCTGAAGTGGGACAGATTTTGTTTGTGTCAGTCCCCTCCTTCCTGCTACCATCTTTTACCACCCCTCTTTCTTTTTACCATTTTACGTCTTCTTTTACTAAGAGCTCCCAAAGGCTACTTCTTTTTGGTCCTGGGGCTTCCTGATTACTATATCCAGACCTGCATGGGACTTTTGGAGTCCTTCTTGGTGGAAGCTGAACTTTCCCCTCTGCATGCTTTTGACTTTTTCCTGCTCATCCCTTCAGCTGTTGTTTGCCTGGGCCCATGTTGCCATCCTGCTTTTTCAGCCTCCAAGAACACTCACCCTCTCCCTGTTACCCTTCATAAGAGACTTGGTATGTCTCATCTCATTCTTCTGTTTCTATCTTGCCTCCCTGATGAATTGCCTTTGCAGAAGTAAGTTCAATGCCTCCTTGGATTCTGTGCCCCTTATGTGTCTGTCATTGGGTTTTGACCTGCCTGGTTACAGAGTTCATTGAAGTTTCCTGCATTTATATCAGTAGAACCTGCTAATTTGATCCTATCTTTGGACATCAGTGACTGTTAAGCACTTGATTGTCTGAACTCTCAGATTGAGATGATGCTTTTCTGCTGAATGATTATATTAGTGAAATTAATGTGATTCTCACTGAAGGCAAACTATAGGTGCAGACAAAGTGGCCCTCTGTGGGGATCCCTCCCTGGTAAAATGTTTTAGGTGGATATTGGGAGGAAAGAAGGGGGAGGAAGGTGGCTGAAGGGTGAGGGGAGTGGTGCCTGGAATGTATGACCTGTTCTCTGGTTTAGCAGCCTTGGTCATTTTTGGTTTCACCTCCAAGTTTCACAAGCCTGGGCTGGCTGCTCTAAGGTCTATAAGGGGTATAAAACCAGGCAACCTCAGTTCTCTTCTGCTTGGAAATATCAAACCAGAGGCAAAAATGAGATTTGGCTGGAGTGTTTTCAGAGTATTAATTGACCTAGCGAACAGCAGGGCTGCAGCACCCTCGCCCACTGGCAAAATTCCTTCTGGGACAACTGGGGGCCAGCCAGTCCTCCAGTCTGGCTGTCTCCTCCCCACGCGTTGTGTCCTTTGCCCTCCAATCTGGCTTGGCTGGGAAGTGGCCTCTTCCTGAGCCTCTTTAGAGAAGAGGTCCCCTTAACCTGGGGCGTGTGCCAAGCCTCTGAGCTGTGATTCATTCTCCTCTGGAGCCCGGGGGGACCCTGTGGCCTGTGAAGAGAGGACTAACTGCCGCAAACCACCTTTCACTCCTTCCAAGAGTCACCAAAAATTATACATTCATTCATGAAAAGACTTCACCAGTTTACTAAACCACCTCGGTGCTGTTGACTAGAATTTTGTTAGGAAAATGTAAGTCAACGCAGAAGAAAGCAGATGTCAAAAATAGCCTGACGAGTCAGAACCAAAGAGAAAACGCGGAGTGTGGTTCAGCGAGCGAGCTACAAAGTGATAGGAGTTTTGAGTGTGACCGTAGTGTGAGTGCTAATGACATTTTGGAAAAGAACGGTTGCAGGTAGAGTCACTGAGGAAATCGATAGTTTGGGGTCCTGTTTATAAATTTTAGAACTACTGTTGTGCTGCTCAAGCGCCAAGTTATTCATTCATACATTTCTCAGGCCATCACAACTCAAATTTCTGTATGCAGTTCCTCTGTCTTCTAAATGTGGGCCCATTTTTTAAGTCCTTGGCATCCCATTGCATCCCATGGGCAGCCTTGCTGATACCTGATACAGAGGAACCCAAGCAGAAATCTTTGTGTATGTATAGAGAAGTTTTCTGGGGTTTTTTTGGAGCTGTATGTAAAAGCCCAGTCAAACTTTTTCTTTTGGAAGATCAGTGTAAAAGATCAGTATAAACATGCTGCTTTTGGGAAAGTTCTTTTAAGCCATTTCATCTAAATATAACTTCTGTTCCATTTTTTTCTAAATATAACTCAGGGTTTAATGAGGTCTTTTCACATGGATTGAGCATTTACGAGGGCCCTGTCTGCATTGCTGAAGTTTTGGCACTTAGGTTGCTGGGGTGACAGTTAGTGACAGACTCTGCGGAGTCCCTTTTCTTTGAGTGGGTGGATCCGGCAGGGAATAGCCTGCTTGCTCTGTTATAGTTTTGGAAAGTTTTGGATTGGTTTCATTCTTCATTGATCTCACTTCTAGGGAATCTTGAGGAGAAAGTAGGTTAGTGCCTGTACACACACACATCTAACCTACAACGCAGAGTGTCCCAGGCTTTACAATGATGTGCAGTTACCCCCAAAATTGTGGCATAAAAAAGGAATTTAAATGATTATCTCACTGGAAAATGCATTATGCATAGATCCTACTTATATTCCATTTTGAGTCCATTTTTACTGGCTAAGCTGGGACAATTCAGATTGGCATCCTTGAGATAAGCTTGTAACTCCTCGATTTCATCTGATGTTTATTGAGGACTTATCATGGCCAGTGACTAAGGGGCTGTGAGAGTTAGGATGAATTAGAACCAACTTTGCCCTGAAGGACTTAAAAAGTGAGTTAGGAAGAAGTAATGTTAGTACAGACCATTAGGAAGGTTCTTGTTAAGAGTCAAGCTAGTTCAGAGGAAAATTTGAAGAATAAAAAGAATAGAAAAATTGTTTTGGGCTGGCATGGTCAAGGAAAGCAGGTAAAGGAAATTGTTTTAAATTGGTCCCTGTCACTCACCATTCTTTAGTTCAAAGTAGTTCTTGTTGAGGGACTTCCCTGGTAATCCAGTGGTTAAGACTTCATCTTCCAGTGCAGAGGTCATGGATTTGATCCCTGGTTAGGAAGCTTAAGATCCCGTATGCCTCCTGGCCAAAAACCTCCAAAAGATAAAATAAGCAATATTGTAACAAAGTAATTCTTGTTGATAATAAAAAACTTGAAAGTAGTAAGGTGGTTAGAATGAAAAGTGGAAGTTCTGCACCCATGTCTTGAGGTAGAAGACCACAGAGGGAGAACACAGGCATAGAGGAAGGGAAAGGTCAGGGCCGTTTGGGCAATGCAAGTTCTTCCATTGGCCTGGAAAGATAAAGGGCCAGACCTTGAAAGCCAGTGAAGGAATCTGGTC